TTGTTTTTGCTTTGGCTCCATCCCTTCATTCTTTCTGGAGTTATTTCTCCACTGATCTCCAGTAGCATATTGGGCACCTACCGACCTGGGGAGTTCCTCTTTCAGTGTCCTATCATTTTGCCTTTTCATATTGTTCATGGGGTTCTCAAGGCAAGAATACTGAAGTGGTTTGCCATTCCCTTCTCCAGTGGACCACATTCTCTCAGACCTCTCCACCATGACCCAATCATCTTGGGTGGCCCCACACGGCATGGCTTAGTTTCACTGAGTTAGACAAGGCTGTGGTCCTGTGATCAGATTGGCTAGTTTTCTGTGATTACGGTTTTAGTGTGTCTGCCCTCTGATGCCCTCTCACAACACCTACCGTCTTACTTGGGTTTCTCTTGCCTTGGACGTGGGGTATCTCTTCACGGCTGCTCCAGCAAAGTGCAGCCGCTGCTCCTTACCTTGGAGGAGGGGTATCTCCTCACGGACCCCCCTCCTGACCTCAAACGTGAAGCAGCTCCTCTCGGTCCTCCTGCACCCACACAGCCGCCGCTCCTTGGACGTAGATAGATAGATAGATAGATAGATAGATAGATAGATAGATAGATAGATAGATAACTACTCAGCCATAAAAAAAAGAATGATATTTTACCCCTTGAAGCAACATGGATGGACTTTGAGTGAAATAAGTTAGATAGAGAAAGACAAATGCTGTATTATATCACTTACATGTGGAATCTAAAAAATACAAACTAGTGAAAATGACAAAAAAAAAAAAAGCAGCAGCAGACTCTCAGATATAAAGAACAAACCAGTGGTTACTGGGGGGAGGGAGGAGCAGTATAAGAATTGGGGAGTGTGAGTTACAAACTATTGGGTATGAGATAGGCTACAAGGATGTGTGGTACAACATGGGGGATATAGCCAATATTTTGTAATAACCGTAAATGGATTATAACCTTTAAAAATTGTACAAAAAATAATTTTCTAAAAAAGGGCAAAAAGAATTTAATATGGCAAAATAAAACCCCAAGTCATCTCAGGCACCATAGAAGTCCCAGCATCACCTGACACTCCTCTTTTTTTAAATATTTATTTATTTCGCTGTTCAGGTTTTAGTTGCAGCCCGAGGGATCTTTCACTGTGGGCTTGGACTTCTCTCTAGTTGGGTCATGCGGGCTTAGTTGCCCCACAACATTTGGGATTTTTGTTCACCAACCTGGCATTGAATCCCACATCCCCTGCATTGCAAGACAGACACTTAACCACCGGCCCTCCAGGGAAGTCCCCATCCTAACACTTGTTTTCATACTGCCTATTCATCTCCTATGGAGAAGGCAGTGGCACCCCCTCCAGTACTCTTGCCTGGAAAATCCCATGAATGGAGGAGCCTGGTAGGCAGCGGTCCATGGGGTCGCTACGAGTCGGACACGACTAAGCGACTTCACTTTCACTTTTCAGTTTCACGCATTGGAGAAGGAAATGGCAACCCACTCCAGTGTTCTTTCCTGGAGAATCCCAGGGATGGGGGGAGCCTGATGGGCTGCCGTCTATGGGGTCGTACAGAGTCGGACACGACTGAAGTGACGCAGCAGCAGCAGTACATCTCCTAATCAAAGCCATCTCTCACCCTTTCTCTCCCCTTGAAACCTTTCCACAGAACCCTCTGGAACTCGGGTTTTCCCCCAGCAAACTCCTTCTCCTTTTCATCCTCAACCTCTTCTCTGAACATTCCTGCCACCTTGTTCTACTACCTAAAATGTAGCCAGCCCCTGGGGACACTAAGTCTTCCACAGTTCTCCCAAACAATCTCTCTTTTTTTTTTTTTTTTTTTCATAATTCTTAAGCCTCACAATGGAAAGGTGGAACCGGTATTCTCTTGGCTCCCCATTGCTTCTTCCAAACAATTTCTCCTTCTTCTCCCATTAAAAAATAATAACAAAAGCAAAAATAGGAAAAGAATAATTGGGGCCTCTTCTTCATTAGTTATTAAATATTTGAAGTACTACCCTGGACTGGGAACACACAATTATAAGAGGCAAGAATCACAACCACCTTTGGAAAATATTTGGAAGTGTTTCAAGTTTATAGAAAACACCCCCAGCCTTGCTTTTGCAGTCTTTCCAACCTGGATCCCTTTGGAGGTATCAGTTCCTGAAGCTGAGGCACAGAAGTGCCATCTGGTCTACCCACACCTCCATGCAAATCTCACGCACAACTAGAAACAGTTGTCAGCAGGCATGCCCCACAGGCCAAACAAAACTGCACCCACTAAGTCACACATTTCCTTTTCCTTTCCTTGTCTCACCTCTTTCTCACTTTATTTCATTGTTTTTGCTGTCGGGGTTATTACTTTGGAATGCCCCTTGGAGGATTTTCAGGAGTAAAATTACCTCATTTAATTCAATGCATTGCTCCCGGAAGCAAGTTTTATTTCCTCTACTTGAATCTGGATGGTAAACAAGAAGCTTCTCTTTTTCCCCATGCTCCTTTCCTGCCTCCCCTGGTATCTCTGTGGTTAAGAGGGCTCACACATTTATAACATGCCCTGTCATTTATGGAGACTGGCCTGAAGCTTGGATGGAGAGAAACAGAAATTTCTGCACACATTTTATTCCACATATTCACAGAGGACAAGGCAGTGAACAAGTTATGCTCAGGTGTTTTTATTCACATTTTTAGGGGGTCGTTCTCCCAGGCTAAGTGAGTCAAAGAATAAGGTACAAGTTCCTTGATTTTATAAGGTTTTCAACAACTCCATTTTGTACATGAAAACTTTCTATGCAGTGTAGCAAAGCAAAGACAGCATTGGCCTTTAAATCACAAGTGTGATTTTTGTGTGCTCTTCTCCACCCATTCCAGTAAGACTTGCATAACCAAATCACCAGTGGCTTTTCAAGATCACCAGCACTTGTGTCTGGCCAAATCCAGTGATGGATTTTAGTTCTTGTCTTACTCAATATCTCAACAGCAAGTGACACTGTCTTCTCTTCATGAAACACTATTTCCCTTGGCTTCTGCACCATCAGTTTTGTTTCCCTCCTGCCAGTCTGTCTCGTCCCTTTCTCCTTTGCTAGTTTCTTTTTTTTTTTTTCCTGATCTTTGTATGTTGGGATACCCCACAATTCAATCCCAGTCTTTTTGTCTCCTCTCTGTAAGGAAATGGCAATTCACTCCAATATTCTTCCCTGGAGAATCCCATGGACAGAGGAGTCTGACGGGCTACATACAGTCCGTGGGGTCACAAAGAGTCAAACAAGACTGAGCAGACACGTACAAGCATGTGATCTCATCCAACCCCAAGGCTTCAAAGGCAACCTGTATGCTGTTGATTCCTGAATTTTACCTTCAAACCCATCATTTCTCTTACTAGGAATCTCAGACCCAACACACCCAAAATGGTATCCTATTTTTTCCCCTCAAACCTAGCCTTCTTTCAGTCTTCTCCAACTCAGCAAATGATACCACCATTCCCCAAGACGTTCAGACCAAAACCTTGGAGTCTTTCTTAACTCTTCATTCATTCCTATTTACTTGTCTACATTTACTCAATCAGTAAGTCCTCCCAGCTTACTCCAAATCTGACCTCTTTCAACCACCTCAACCACTACCACTCTAGTTATCTTCATTTGGCTTGATCGGTAAGTCTTCTGTGGTAGATCGGACCATAGTTTCCAAGTATTCACTGTTCCTCTTGGTGGAGGATTATATTTCCCCACCTCCAATGATGCCAGGGTTAGTCATAAGACTTCACTCAGTCAAGGAAATGTGAAGGATGTGATGTGTGTCACTTTGAGGCGAAAGAGTGCAGAATTTGTATGTGATTCACCACCATCGTTTTTGTCTCTACCAGGAGACCAATGAGCGTTGCATACAGAGGCACATATTCTAGAGTGGAGATGATGTGGAGTAGAGCTATAAGACATGAAGCATCATTACTCTGGTCTTACTCAGCCCATGCTGACCAACACACTTACCAACACTGACTCCCTACTTCTACGTCACCCCCCTCCCCCACCACGTGGCCAGCAAACACTCCACAGAGGGGCATTTTGAAAAGGTAAATCAGATCATGTTGGTTCCTCACTCAAAGTCCTCCAAAGGCTTCTGCTGAACTCAGACTAAAACCCAACCTGCTCATTGTATTCTATAACCCCTTTTTGGTTGAGTCCTTCCCCATCACTCTGATAGCATCTCTTGTCCATCTTCCTCTTGCTCACTCCTCTGCTCCACACTGGCTGTGATGGTTAATTTTACACGTCAACTTGAGTGTTTCACAGGATGCCCAGATATTTGGCTGAAGGTTATTTCCCGGTGTGCCTGTGAAGATGTTTCCAGATTAGCATTTAAATCAGCAGAGTATGTAAAACAGATTGTCATTGCCAATATGGGTGGGCCTCATCCAGTTGATTCAAAGACTGAAAAGAACAGAAAGAGTGGAGGAAGGGAAAATTTGCCCTCCTCTCCTTGGCTGATTGAGCAGGGACATGGGTCTCCTCTCTTAGACTGGCATTTACTCCTCAGTGGCTCTCCTGAGTCCTGAATGTCTGGCCTTCAGATTCAGACTGAATTACAACACAGGCTCCTCTGGGTTTCCAGCTTACAGACAACAGATCGTGGGGTTTCTCAGCCTCCAAAGTCAAAACTTTGGTTCCGTTTCTCTGGGGAACCTTGACTAATACATTTCCTTTGTTGCTGTTTCTTGAATATGCCAAAAATCTATCCACTCCAAGAAAAGGCAGAGACGTGCTGACAGCATGTTGAAGAATCGAACCTTTGGAAAGTAACTTGGTTTAGATCGAGTCATGAGGGTGAGCCTCTAGTTTTCCTTAAAAAGGAAGAAGAAAGCCTTAAACTTCACTCTCTGTCCCTCTCTCTCTTCCTCTCTTCACCACTAGGTGACACAGCAGGAAGCCAAGTCAGGACTTCTTTGATGGTCCAGTGGATAAGAATCCATCTGCCAATGCCAGGGACATGTATATGATCCCTGGTCTGGGAAGATTCCACATGCTGTGGAACAATTAAGACCATGAGCCATAATTGCTGATGCCGCTGAAGCCGCTGAAGCTGGTGCGCCTAGAGCCTGAGCTCTGCAACCAGAGAGGCCACCACAAAGAGAAGCCCGCACACGACAACAAAGTCTAGTGCCCACTCACTGCAACTGGAGAAAGCAAGGAGGACCCAGCGCAACCAGAAAGAAAGAAGAAAAAGAGAATCTAAGCCAGGAAGCAGTCATCACCAGGAAACTTTCAAATCTGCTGGCACCTCGATCTTGGACTTCCTGGCCTCCAGAACCATGAGAAATAAAATATCTGTTGCTTAAACCACCCCGCCTATATAGTATTCTGTTATGGCAGCCCAAACAGATTGACAACACCTAAAATTATGTGTATATAACTTTGATGAAAATGGAAACCAAATTTTGAAATGATCATGCATCAACAATAAATTAAAAGGATGATTTTAATTTGGCTTCCCTCATTGTGTGCACACAGATACATGGCACCATTTGGGCAATACATTTTGCAAAGCATCTAAATGCATGAAAATATTTCAGGGAAGTGATAATCATGGCCTGGGCCAATCTGTCTTTTGTAAATAGTTCTCAGGGAAGTATACTAATTAGAGCTAGGATAGGCAAATGACACAGCAACCCATCAATCAACAGCCTCACTGCTCATCTATTGAATATATAGCAACAGATAGTCAACCTTCTGTGGAATAAACAAGCAAGTGGAAGTTTCTGGCACTAAAGATGTTATTATTCAAGAAAAGACATGGGGCATAAATTTCTGTAAAGTTAAATGACAGTACCAATTTATAAATAATACTTCATCAAAAAGTAAAAAGATGTCACAAGATTATGCAAGACTTTCACTAAATAAAGTACAGAAGTGTTACTGTATAGAAGAAAGAGAACTCGAGATGCAGAGAAGGGATCTCAGAGGAAAGAGATGAGAAGTAGGTCTTGAAAGATGGGCTGCGCACGAATGGATGCGGGAAAGGAGGAATTCAAAATGTAGATCCATTTATATAAGATGTGGTCTTGGCACCATGAAAAAATTTCCAGGTCTGGAGCCAACACATTAGAATGCAAGTCTACTAAGCAGAGTTCAGAGGCAAAGTTTTAGCCTTTGGCCAGAGGAAAGCCACTAATTCAAAAAAAAACAAAATTCCATAACCCACAGTGAGACCAAGAATCCAACCAGGTGCCCTGCTAGGGTATATATCACCTTTTATGAGATTTAAAAAAAAAAACCCAGGAAAGGTTTCTGATCAATGTTACAGGCCCAAATTACATGTAAATGGCAATTACCTCTTAGCAAAAGAACTAATTAGGGCTGACTTGATTTTATCATGAATAATAAAAATAAAAATAAGTTTGTGGACTTCTGTACTTCAATAAAAGTATGGGGTGTGATTTATTGGTGAGAGTATTCTTCAAGGGAATATAAATATGTAATTTTTATAAAGTTCAAATACATTACCTCTTCAATGGCTGAAATAAAGTAGTGACTTCAGTTCAGACAAATAAATAGGAGGGATATGTAAATTAGCAAAAATTAATGTTCTAACATTTACATAACACTTAAATCCTGCAATGAAAAATATCCAGATCAGTGGAAGTCAGAAGTATTTCCCTTACGTAACTATCATCAGACAAATCTGCATCCATGGTAGTCCCTCAAAAGCAAACTTCTAACTGTATTTGTAAGTAATTAAGGGAGATCTGGTGGTTTCCCAGGTTGCTCAGTTGTAAAGAATCTGCCTGCCAATGCAAGAGCCGCAGAAGATGTGAGTTCAATCCCTGGGTCGGGAAGATCCCCTAGAGCAGGAAAAGGCAATCCACTCCAGCATTCTTGCCGGGAAAATTCCATGGACCGAGGAACCTGGCGGGCTGCAGTCCATGGGGTTGCAAAGAGTCAGACACCACTGAGCGACTGAACACACACAGAGAAGGCAGAAGCCACATCACAAGGGAAGGCTGTGACCAGTTGACATCCAGTTCAGAAGAGCAGGGAGCCGTACCCACCAGTGCCCAGAAGAGGGCAGGCAAGAACCACTCAGGGGGAGTCATCCTCAGAAGGTCACCCCTTGGGCACCAGTCAGGAGAAACCATCCTCCCCACCTGCACAGAGATGGCCAGAATCTGCCCAGGACTGACTGCTACAGGAGATGGAAAAGGGGAGATGCGGTGGTGAGTCACCTTGCCAAAGGCAGCTGAGACGCGTGAAGCACAAAGCCATGAAGAATCGTGGAGAAGCCAGAGGATGGACAGAGCAGCCAGTCAAAAGGACCCAGGATCAGGAATGAGGCAGCCCTGATCATGCCACTCCCCTGCTCACATGCCTTCAGTGGTCCCTATTTCCACTGCACAACCCAAGCTCCTTAGTCTGGCATCCAAGGCCCTACAATGATCTAGACAGAACCCACCTTAATTATCTTAGACATTAGTGTTTGTTTTTAATCATACACTGAATACTCCAACCAAACCAAGGATGACTTCCTTCCTCAATGTCATTGTTCCTGCTGTCCCTTCATTCACTCATCCTATAACAAACACCATGTGACTGCTACATACTGGTGATGAGAGGGAAGGATACGGGATCGGTAAGAAGAAATGGTCACCTTTGAGCAGCTACCGGGAGGAGACAGACAGTGAGGTGGTGATGTATGCTACACTGAGGGTAAGCAAGGGAGATAATGGGGTGGAAAGAGGCGTGGCTAATCAGGCTGTCCTAGAAGGCTTCCTGGAGGCGGTGACCATCCCCTTGAAATGCCTTTTTCTCTCCTCACCATATATTTAAACCTTCATTGCCTACTGGAGAGCCATCTATTGTTTTCATCTGCCTGCCTACCTTTCCCTGCTGCTGGGAAAATGTACCCCCTCCTCCTTTGGAAATGGCTCTCTACTCACCTTCCCCAGTGGGCTGGCCAGTCATATTATCTCTTCCTTTTGTCCATGGTAACTGGTTCAGGGAGTATCCTCTAAACCAATCAGATCAGTTCTCTGGAGTTTTTTGCCCTCCCATTGAAGTTAGAGGCGTCGCTCCTTCTGTCTCTGGGTTGGAAGCTGTCAGTGTGGATTTCAAAGCTGCTGGTGCCAACTCCCTTGCCCCCTTGAGGATCCTGAGAGGATAAACTGTAGAGAAAGAGGCAGAGAAATGTGACCCGATGCAAATCCCAGAATGCAGTTACCTTGAATTATGGCCAGGCCTGTATTTAACTGTGTGTAACAAGAGCCCAGCTCTGGGACTTAACCAAAGAGTTCTTTTTCTCAGGTAACAAGTGGTCAAATGTCAGCAGGCAAAATCTAGAACGCTGGCTCCACAACAATGACAAAGACCAACCTCCTCCCACCATCCTGCCTCACCCTCCTTATCACCTCTCCTTCTCACCTCCCAGGATGACTGCTGACTCTCCGGGCATCGTATCCACATGCCAGACAAGAAGGATGAAAAGCATATGCCAGCTTGTTGTTGTTCGGTCGCTCAGTCATGTCTGACTCTTGGCGCCCGCATGGACTGCAGCACGCCAAGCCTCCCTGTCCCTCACTGTCTCCGGGAGTTTGCCCAAGTTCATAGCCACTGAGGCAGCAATGCCATCCAGCCGTCTCATCCTCTCCTGCCCCATCTCCTCCTGCCCTTTTCTCCAGCTAAGTGTCCCCTTTTGTCCGGATTCCCACAAGTCGCATCCTGTATACCTCAGCTTACATCCCAGTGTTCAAAAAAGGGTCCTGTGCCCACCCCACACACAAGATACAAGGGAGTCTGGAGGGGGTGTTAGTTGGGCACAATAAGAAGATACAAGGAATGCCTACTGGGAAGGCAGTGGGTGGTGTCTGCCACGACTCCTAAATTGCCTTGCCGGGCTATATAGATCCACAAATCTTCCTTTTTGGCTTAAGCCAGTTTGAGGTAGGTGTTTGCAACTTTCAGGAAAAAAAGCCATGACCCATACACCTGCCAAAGGCCACTGCTACCACCTGATCCCACTCCAGCAGGACAATCGCAACTTCAATCTCCAGTTACAATGGGCGCTTTTCCCACTGCAGCCTGAGGTAGGGCATCCCTGGGCCAGGGTTAATTCTGCAGACAGCCCAGACAGACCAGCAGCTCCTGCCAGCATGATTGCTAGAATCTAGCTACTAAAGACCAGCTGTGTCTAAAGCCATCAGCACCACGGGGACTTCCCTGGCGGTCCAGTGGCTAAGACTTCAAGCTCCCAATGCAGGCAGCCCAGGTTCAATCCCTGGCGCTGCAACTAAGATTTCGAATGCTGCAGCTAAAGATCCCACATGCCACATCAAAGATCGAAGAGCCCAGGCGATGCAACGAAGACCAGGAGCTGCCAAATAACTAAATAAAAGGCCATCAGCACCGTCAACTTGTACCTAGTCACTGTTATTGGCACCCACCCCCCGAATCAAGCAATGCTACCCAGGGCTTTTTGCTGGCAGGAAAGAGGGGAGACCCTATTTACCACTAAAATGCTGAAATATAATCTGGTACATCTACATGATGGGACGCTGCACAGCAATAAAAGAGATTAAGGATTCTGTATTTCTGATGTGACTTGTGCGTCTGTGCTCAGTCGTGTCTGACTGCTTTCGACCCCATGGACTGTAGCCTGCCAGGCTCCATGGGATTCTCCAGGCAAGAATACTGGAGCAGGTTGCCACTTCTTACTCCAGGGGATCTTCCCCACCCAAGGATCAAACCCGAATCTCCTGCAGCTCCTGCATTGACAGGTGGATTCTTTACCACTGAGCCACCTGGGAAGCCCCATTCTGATGTGAAACACCTTCCAAAAAGCATTGCTAAGTTGCTTCAATGTGTCTGATTCTTTGAGACCCCACGAACTGTATGTTGCCTGCCAGGCATTAGTAAGAGGGGGTGGGAATCAAAGCGCAAAACAGTATATATAGGAGATAATCACTTGTGTTAAAAGGAACAAAAAATAATACACGTGTACATATCTGCACCTGCCTAATGGCAACCGACTCCAGTTTTCTTGCCTGGAAAATTCCATGGACGGAGGAGCCTGGTGGGCTACACAGTCCGTGGGGTTGCAAAGAATCAGACACAACTGAGCGACTTCACTTTCAAAATATCTCAGGAAAAAAATATGAAACTGGTCCTATTAGCTGCCTTCAGAGTGGAGAACAGGGAACTGAGTAGATTGGAAGCGAGGCATTTATTATACTCTTTAAATCTTTTAAATCCTGGACCTTGTGAAACCTATTTGGACCTATTTGGATCTTGTGAACCTATCTGAAAAAGAACAAAAATACATTTCTTGAAGTAAACACATTGTGGTTTGTGGTGGTATGCCTGGGGGTTTTTTGTTTTCTGTCTTGTTTTTCTAGGCTAAGCAACAGGAAAGAAGAAATTTGGCAGCCAGGGCTGGGAAGAAAAATGAAAGAAAAGGAAAATTAGCATCCATTTAACAATACAATGGATATAATGTCTTCATTAATGGCTGTTTTCTCATATTATTTTCAAAGCATTTACAGACATCAGTTCACTCATTCTCGCTCTCTCCTTCCATCCCTGACTCTCTCTCTCACACCTTACAAGGTGTGGAAAAATGGATCCAGTTCCTTTCAGCTCAGAGGTGATGATGCACTGCTTGAAATCCAAGTCTCCCAGCCTGACCAGCTCCTGCATTCTGGTATCAGGCTACTGTGCCTTTCCCCAGGCTGTTGTCTGGGCCTGGAATTCCCTTTCTTCTTGTCCTTATGCCCAGAAGCCACTCCAGCAATATTCCTTCTTTTAAACCCAAGGTTTCACAAACTTTTCCTTTTAAATGCTGAATAGTAAATAGTTTAGGCTTTGAGGGTCATCTGGTGTCTCCAGATACCAACTTCCCAACTCTACCATTAGGGGGCAAAATCAGCCATGGACAACACAGAAACGAACAAACCAGCCATGCTGTGCTCCCACCCAATTTTATTTACCAAAACCGACAGTGGGCTGGAGTTAGCCTTCAGGGCAGGGTGGTACTTTGCTGACCTCGCTCTTGAACCCCAAGGAAATTTGCCATCAGCTAGCATCATGCTCCACATTACATTATCCACCAGGGGTTTATTCTTTTTTCTTCCCCCAGATGCAAATTCCTTGAAGATAAGGACTGGTGGGAATGTAAACTGGTGCAGCCACTATGGAAAACAGTACGGAGATTCCTCAAAAAATTAAGACTAAAACTACCATATGATCCAGCTATTCCACTTCTGAGTATATATCCAAAGTATGCAAAAACACTAACTCAAAGAGATATATTCGTACCTATGCTCATCAGAGCATTATTTACAATAACTAAGGTACAGAAGCACCTAAGTGCCCATCAAAAGATGAATGATAGTATATACATGCGTACAATGGAATATTACTCAGTCATCAAAAAGGTGAAATCTTGCCATTTGCAACAACATGGAAGGACCTTGAGTGAGGGTATTAATTAGGCTTACTAAAAAGTAAGTCAGACAGAGAAAGACAGTGTATAATTTCATTCATATGTAGAAAATAAAAAACTAACAATAATAACAAAATAAACTAATAAACCAAATTAAGTGAAAAGAAACATGTAAATGCAGAAGACAGAGTAGTAGTTACCAGATAGGAAGGGGTGGGGAAAGGCAAAATGAGTAAAGAGGATCCACTATACAATGACAGATGAAAGCTAAATTTAGGGGGATGAGCACAGTCTAGTGTACCCAGAAGTAGAAATATAATGTTGTACATATGAAATCTATTTCATGCTATAAACCAATGCTACCATAACAAAAAATAATAAATTTTAAAAGACTGTCTTTTAGTCCCTTTTAATACTCACCCACTAATCTGGATATCCACTGAATTGGCCCAAAGTCTCTTAACCCTTCTGCAAGGGAGAGAACCCAGGTTAAAGCTTCTTTTTCTGGGGTCAAGTCTGTCACACCCAACTCCAGCCACAACACCCCATGTGCCCTTCATCTGAAAATCAGTGTCCCTATCTGCTCCACACCCCTGAGTTCTCTGCTTCCAGAGCCTCCCAGAATAACTGAGTGTCTTCTCTAAATGTTCAGTGAAGTATCTGGATTGTGTGTGCCTGATCAGTCTCTCAGTTGTGTCAGACTCTTGGTGACCCCGTGGACTGCAGCTCACGAGATTCCTATGTCCATGGGATTCTCCAGCAAGAATACTGAAATGGGTTGCCATTTCCTCCTCCAGGGGATCTTCCCTACCCAGGGATCGAACCTGACTCTCCTGCGTCCCCCACATTGGCAGGCAGATTCTTTACCTCTGAGCCATTCAGGAAGTGTCTGGACTAATCTTTCTAAATTATCAAATTCAAAGCCAGTCTTGCTGAACCTGGATTCCACACCCCCTTCTATGGCTCTCTGATCCCATCCCTCACACACTGCCCAGCTGGTCCATGATTTAACAGTACTGCTTTCGTTGCTGTTAGTTTTCTGGTCCATCTTCAACATTCATCAGTAGCTAATGAACATTCATTGAGCAGCTACTATAATCTGTGCTTTGAGAATTTGAGAAAGAGTCTCAAGAGAAGATTAGACTTGTGGTTTCCATTGTATAACCTTTGGTACAATTTGATTTTTTTTTTATATTATTGCAGGCATGCTAAATCTCTTCAATCATATCTGACTCTTTGCAATTTGACTCTATAGAGTGTAGCCCATGAGGCTCCTCTGTCCATGGGATTCTCCAGGCAAGAATGCTGGAATAGGTTGTTATGCCCTCCTCGGGAGGGTCTTCCCCACCCAGGGATCAAACCTGCATCTTCTGCATCTCCTGTATTGCAGGCGGATTCTTTATTGCTGAGTTACCAGGGAAGCCAGTTTACATTACTACCTTCAGCTTATAAACATCTTAGAAAAGACCCCCGAAGAGATTTGATATGCCAATTTTGAAAAAGTACATTTCACATGTGAGGTCTTTCTGCATATGATTGTGGAATAGTTGGTGGCTAAGTCTAGAGGAAAACAAATAATTTTTGTTTTGAGTTTGTAAACTACAGAGTTTTATTAAATAATCTTATCCACACTAAGATTTGTTTCTGCACTAATGGTGTTTCTATGCTTCCGAAGTCAAGAGCCTCAGTGTTCTGAGATTTGAAACCCAAAACGGATGCAGCCTTTCC